TTAGCCAAAATTGCATGCTGAAGCAAGATACATCTACAAGCTAAGGGGGGGGGGGGAATAGAAGAAAAAGAAAATAGTCCACGTAAACAAGAAAGGCTGCCTTCGAGGCCCTCGCTGCTGCAAACCTCAAATGTTCTCATTGCAGGGTGCCCACGAAATCCCTGCTGTAATTGAATGTTGTCTTTGAGGTTTTCTGACCATGTGCTCTGTACCATGGTTACTAGGACTCTGATAGGAGAAGCTGGGTATGTATTATAGTCTTGTCCCAAACTTTGGCCATGGTTTATCTCCCTGGCATTTATAAAGGAAGAAAACTTAAAGAGGGAAAATTTTGTGCCAGTGATTTTAACCTGGTCCACCTTCCAATGACCCGCCACATGCTCTTTCTTACTTTATAGACATCTGGGAATTCCATACATGCCTTAAACTCCAATTACACACCTTCTTCAAAGGACGCGTGCTTTGATTTGCTATGAACATTAAGTGGGCACATGTCTGGGGGCCAAGACAAAAGAAAATGGAAAATGTATCTGGAGTCCCTGGGTGTAGTCTTTGCTCTCCAGTAAATAAGGATAATAAACAATCCCTCTGTTTGCATTTTCGAGGGCTAGCTCTGCAAAGAACTGTGGGGAGGTTTCTGAGAAACAGTGGGGTTCTCCTATGAAGAGGAAGTGGATTTCTCCTTCCACTGTGCTGCTGCCCCGTTTTTTCTACTTTCTCCGGGGCTGGGGGTGGGGCAAACTTTACGATGCATAAACAGAAAATTCTGGAAAAGTGGCCCCCTGGGATCACCCTCCCAACCCCCCGTTTGTCGCTAATGGAAGCAGGTCCCTGGAAATCTAACTTTGGGCCTTTGCCTGACTCTTGTTGCTGTGGCTGCCCCGCTACTGCTGACACTTGGCGCCGCCGCCTCCCAGCAGCGGCCAGACGCGGGCCAAGGCCCCGTCCACCGTGGAGGCAGCGGACACTGTCATTCCCCCCAACTGTGCGGGCCAGGCCCGCCACCCACGCTGGGGAGTCCAGGCCCGAGGCCCCCTCCCCAGCCCGCCGCAGGTGAGACCCGCTCCCCACAGAGCTCTGTTTGGGTTTCCGTGGCATTTGTTCCCCGCAGGTTTGTTTGTTTTTCTTCAAATTACAGATGCAGGGAAAACCGCCTGACATCATGAGAGCGGGACAAACGCTCACTTTGAAGGATTCCTGGGCAGGACTTCAAGTGAAATCATATGCCTGAGAAGAACTTGATACCGGTCTAGAGAAAATAACCAGTTCTGAGTTTGCCAAACCTTGGAATGTGCAAAATGCTCTACTTTTTTGCAAGAGGCCAACTGTCCCTTAAAAAGCCCCATTATGAATATGGACCCGAAGGCCGAAGGAACAAGACGCTTGTGCCCTTGTTGAGTGTGGGGAAAAGGTACACGCGTTGAGTGAGTTTCCGCTATTTAACATTATTTTATTACTAATGTGTCCCGCTTGGGGGATAGTACCTGCAACTGTGCATGAATTATCATCATTGCATGTGCTTATCAAGTGTGTACACTAAAAAGGGAAAAACATGTCTGTAAGAACAAAACCTATGTACCGCTTTGCTGTAACTGAAAACTATCAACTGAACAAAATTTTTAAAAAATACCTCCAAGAGATGTATGTCTACAGTTAAGAAACATTCTTACTCAATTTTCTAGAATTCATCAACTTCATACAATGTTCTCCCCTTCATTGAGTGTATTCTGGATAAAGGACAGAGACCTGGGGTTCAGGCACCTCACTAAATGGCTTCTCACTTCTGAAATAGCGGTAATTAATTCTGTGTGTCCTTTAAATAAGAGTAGGTAGCAAAAATAACAACAAAACAGGAAATATTAACAGTGGAGGGAATTTTAAAAAGTGGCTTCCTTTCTATTCTAAGATTATTGTACTTCAAGGAGGGGGTTGGGGAATACAAGTTATCTGCAAAGAAAATTACATTCTAGTAGTTAATACCTTAAGCCGGAAATTCTCATTATTCAAGGTAAAACTATTCACTACCTTTTTTCTTGACTTGAATTCTCTGACAATTTTCAGGAAAATATTACCTTCACTTTACTATTAAGTATTATTGAACATGAATATGCTATTTGCTTTTCTCCAGTGTTTTCTCTCATGAACACAAGTGAAAATACTTCTCCCCTCCTTCCCCAAAGCCAAAAGTTTTCTTAGAAACCTCTTAAGTTTCACATCACCAAAGTTTATAGATTACCTTCTCAGCATCAATGGTCAGCTCCATCCTGATGTACATCAAGAGATCTGAAACATCAAATAGTCAGACCAAACTGGAATGAACAAGGCGATTCTTCCATGCACAATTTAGAAAATGGAGGTGTTTGGAAAGGGAGACACAAGAACCAATTATCATCTCTCCCTCTTCCTTCTAGAGTTCCCTCCTTATACTTTTATTCTCCACATACACCACCTCTTCTACATACACACACTCTGTAAGTGTACCATACAATTGCTTTCCCTTCTGATAATTTGGGAAAGGACTGTCAAATTAAGAAAAAACCAATTTTCTAAACTCTAATTGTTTAGTGTAAGCAATTTCCTTTTTTTTAAAAAAAAAATAGGGCCTAAAATATACACAATAAATTTACAGCATTGTTATGTCAGCATTCTGAGGTGATGTGTGGAGCAAAAACCTCCAGGCAATAAAATCATCTCAACCTGAGCTGAACAAACACATTCTGTTTGGAAGCATGTACTTATTTGTCATGGTCATTGTTTGAGTTAAACAGCAAACTAATTTTCCAGTTTGAAAGTGTCTTTGAATGCATTTGGATGAAGTACAGATGCAAACATCACTATTTCTGGTAATTTTAAGAACTAGTATTTTTTCTAGCTCAGAAATAATAAAATGGAAATTAAAATAGAGCACAAACTGCCTGTTATTTTTACTGAAATTTGTGATTTTGTGTACATCTAAATAATTAAGCAATTTTTGTGTAATTTTGAGTAAAAATATATTTGCCAGCGACCTGAATATCAACTCAAACATCGTATCACTTAATCTTTTCACCTATTCCAAAAGTTACTGAATATACAAAATTCTATTTGTGTATTGTGGTTTATTGCATGGCTATACAATCTTTAAGTATACAGAACATGCTTTCAGAATGGATAGCATGACTATGGAAAATAATTTTCATTCTGGTTTTTCTTTTTAACATACCTGACACAAAATAATTTTCATTCACAAAAAGATTTATGTCAATTAGTTTATAAATAGATGTTTTCCCAGATGAATTAAACGTCATAATTTCGCATGCATTCCAGATGTGTGTCTAGAGACAGGTAAGTAAATTTCTTTCAATTTTATATACCCTCTCACTAGAATGAACTTACTTAAAAGTCTTTACAAAGACTGAAAGGTATTAAGACAAGTATACATAAGGCAAATTGACATTTTAACTGCTTTACAACTACCACCCCAAAATGTATGCAAGAGAGGCAAATCACTAATTTCTTAAATATTCTGTTACTTGGAACTTGATAATTAAGGACTGAAGAAGAGACGCTAGGAAACCTATTTACTGAACTCCAAGCTGGAATAATAAAGCTGTCTTTTAACATAACATGCCTGTGTCTGTCAGTAGCTAGTTTGAGTTTTCCAAGGCTTTGTTTAGATTAGTGCTCCCCTCTTTCTTGGGTGCCTGTAGAGTTAAACAAGCAGGTATTTACCTCCACTTTAATCCTAGGTTTTAAAATTATAGACCAAACTCTGAAGTTCTTAAAATTTTCAATCATATTTATTTATTGCAGAAAAATAATATACAAAGATATTTACAAAACAATCATAAAAATATGAATGCATTTAGACACCGGATCTATTTGCATTTACCATGGGTCATCAATAAATAAATAGAATGTTGTTTTGTATTTTAAAGGGTTTTTTTTTCTGTTGATCCCTCAGAGGAGGGATGAAAAAGAAATTTACTGACTGATTTTGCAGGTCAGTTTGGTCCCAGTATTTTTATGTCTAAGGATGTTATTAAAATTCCCTCCGATTGTTACCATTTTAAAATGGGTAAGAGTCCATAATGAGTCTGTCCTTTCAGTGGCTGGTTGGCACAACCTCTTGCGAATGCATGCATGAAAAAATAAAAATAAAAACATTCTTCGTCAAAAAAAAAACACAACAAAAACACAAACAACTGTTCAGACTTCTATCAGAATGTAGAGGTGTGAGGATGGTGCCGCCGCCCATCTGGGATTCACTGTCCAAGGGCCTGTCTCACTTTCTCTTTTAAAAGTGCGCCCCACGCCCTGTTTCTTTGAATTTGGGTTCTGCTCTTCTAATTTCCAAGACAATCTTTGGCATGTATATATATTTTTAGTTATCCAGCTCCAGAGTCTCTAGACTGTCCATTTTCTCCTTCTCTGGAAACAATGACATCTGCAAAAACCCAGAGGGGAGGAAAGTTGGTTATTGTTTAGGTCTCTGTCTCTTTTCTAAACTACTTCATACTGTTCTTATCACCACCATGGAGAAATTACGCCGAACAACCTGGAAGGATTTCAGCCCAAGGGCAAGAGGAAGTGGGTGGGCGGAAAGAAGGAGGAGGTGGAATTGGAAAACATTTGTTTCAAGGAGGAAATTTTAAAGCCTAAAGAAAGGGAGGCCCTGGTCCTATAAGTCTCTCGTCTACCCTCCTACCTTACACGCAGACTCACTCTCCCGCACACGCACAGCACACCTCTCGCCAGGGCGCATCCCCCTGGGGACCTCTCCCTAAAGGTACCGCATCGCCTTCCAGGGTGCTGGAGAGGGGAGTAGGGGGAGGTAGCGGTACCAGGTCGGGTGGGGACGTCGGAGAGGGCAGTGGGAGAAGGGGCAACAGGCGAGGCAGACCCGGGGCCGAGGCCTGGACGTCAATCCCTGTGCCCGCCACCTGAGCGGTCAAGGGGCGCAGAGGCGCCGGTCCTTACCTAGGTCTCAGGCCCTGCCGAGGGGTGGGGGGCTCCGCCTGCTAGTGGGACGCGGACATGGACCAGGCCCCCTCCATCCTCCATACTGAAAAGGCGTAGCTGAGCCGCTCGTGGGCCACATAGCTGCAGCTTGCCATCTTGGAGTCCAGCTCGTCGCTCTGGAGAACCTGGTAGAGGAAGTCGATGTACCTGGCGGCCAGCTTGAGCGTCTGGATCTTGCTCAGCTTGTCCGAGGGCAGCGTGGGGATGATCTTCCGCAGCGCGGCGAACGCCTCGTTCAGGGACTGCGTGCGCTGGCGCTCCCGCACGTTGGCCATGACCCGCTGTGTCTGCAGCTCCTCGTACGACTGCGGGCTCCCACCGCCGCTGCTACTGCCGCCGCCGCCCGCGCTGCCGCCGCAGCCAGCAGACTTCTTGCCGCGCTTG